AAAGTGTGCCAATTGCAGTAGTGAGCATCTGGCGTCCTCTAAGTCCTGCCCAAAATTCGAGTATGAAAGCAAAATCCTCAAACTGAAATGTACAAATAATATTTCATACTTTGAAGCCAAAAAATTAGTTCCTGTTCATACAAGACCAACTACCAGTCTAACGTATTCGGCCACAGTTTCTTCTTCTGCGGCAACTTCTGTTGTAAAAACTTCTTCTGCTTCTTGTCAGACTGTGATATCTTGGGTCAGTGAAGCTCAGATATCGTTTGATGACACAACTCAGACACTACAAACTTGTCAGCGCTCGTCAGCATCCCAGACTGAGGGGACACAGTCAGATAAAATACCTGACACTGAGTCAACTCAAGCTACTCAGAGTGTTGCTCAATTAACGAGTAAAGAAAAGAAAAAGTTGAAGAAAAAGACCAGGTCTCTTCAACATTTGGAAGAGCCTTCTTCTTTGGCAAATCCAGTGGTGGTTCAAAATACATTTGAACCACTTGCCATGGAGATCACTCCTTCACACACAGGGTGTAGGGGTAGCGCTTCCACGCGCACACTTTCAACTGTTCCACCATCAAATACAATGTTATGAACTTAATACAATGGAATTGCAGAGGTCTTAGGAACAATTTTAATGAACTTCAACTACTATCACAAGATTTCAAACCATCGGCTTTTTCTTTACAAGAGACATATCTTAAAGATGAGGATAGATTGGAAATCCGCCAGTACAACTCATATCACTCGTTTTCACCTCCGGGACAAAGAGCTACGGGTGGTGCTTCTATTTTGGTAAGACAGGGTGTCATCCATAGCCCTGTGCCTCTGAAATGCAACCTTCAAGCTGTGGCAGTTCGTCTTTCCTTACACATAACTTTCACTCTTTGCTCCTTATACATCTCTCCATCTTCTCCCTTGCAACAGTCCGATCTTCAGAATCTATTTGACCAACTCCCAAAACCCTGTATCATCATGGGTGATCTAAATGGGCATAATCCTCTATGGGGAAGTATCACTGTCAATGCTAGGGGGAAAATCCTTGAAGACTTTCTTGCAGATAATAATTTATGCTTATTTAATGATGGATCAGCCACATATTTACATCCTGGTACAGGAACGTATTCTGAACTTGATTTGTCATTGTCAGATCCAAATATTTATCATGAGTTTGAATGGTCGGTCCATGCTGACCTTTGTGGTAGTGACCATTTCCCCACAATTCTCTCTGCTATAAATCCGACTGATAACCCACCGGCAACGAGGTGGAATTTTACAAAGGCTAACTGGCCATTATTTCAGTCACTTTGTACTGACAAATTGAACTCTGATCTATTTATTGATGTCTCAGATCCTATTCAGTTGTTTTCTGATATCCTTAATGACATTGCTGACACATCAATCCTGAAGTCCTCTGCAATTCCACATATTCGTAAACCATGGTTCACTATCGAATGTAAACAGGCCAGAAAGAGTAGGAAGAAAGCTGAAAAGTATTATCGACGACATCCTACTGTACATAATTTGGATAAAGTAAAAATTTTAAATGCCAAGGCTCGACGTGCATTTAAGCAGAATAAGCGTCAGTCTTGGCGAAATTATGTTTCCAAGATAAATTCCCGCACACCAATGTCAAAAGTGTGGAACATGATCCAAAGAATAAAGGGCAAAGGTTCCAGATCTACTGTCCAGCATCTGAAGGATGGTGACAATTTATTGACAGATAAGGCTGACATTGTCAATAAGCTTGGTGACACTCTCGCCAAGCATTCGCCATCATCGAATTTCGTCCCTGAGTTTCAGAAATACCAGAAACAACAGGAGAAGAAAAAAATAAATTTCAACTCGGACAATGGTGAAGACTATAACGAATTATTTTCGTTACATGAGCTCCATACTGCCCTTGAACAAGCTCATGATACTGCAACGGGGGCTGATAATATACACTATCAGCTCTTGAAGCATTTACCGGAAACATGTTTGGAAACGCTTCTAACTATTTTTGATACGATATGGAATTCAGGGAATTTTCCAACTTCGTGGCGTCATGCCATTGTAGTCCCCATTCCAAAACCTGGCAAGGATCATACTGATCCGTCTTATTACAGACCAATCTCTTTAACGAGTTGCGTCTGTAAAACAATGGAACGAATAGTTAATAATCGATTAACATGGTATCTTGAAACCAATAATCTCATAAGAAATATTCAATGTGGTTTCAGGAAAAATCGTAGTACCATTGATCATTTGGTACGTTTAGAATCCTTTGTTAAAAATGCAATAATAAATAAACAACATGCAGTATCGATATTCTTTGATCTCGAGAAAGCATACGATACCACCTGGAAGCATGGCATTTTAAAGGATTTACATGATTTTGGTTTAAGGGGTCGTTTACCTCTTTTTATATCACAGTTTTTATCAGACAGGCAATTTCAAGTCCGAGTGGGTTCAACCCTGTCTGACCATTATAATCAGGATCAGGGTGTCCCTCAAGGCAGTATTTTGTCTGTCACATTGTTTAGTATTAAGATCAACAGTTTATCTAAGGTTTTAAATGATTCAATTGATGGATCACTTTTTGTGGATGATTTTAACATTTCTTGTCGTGGTAAGAATATGCATACTATTGAACGGCAACTACAGTTGTGTTTGAACAAAATAAATAAATGGTGTCTTGAGAACGGCTTTAAATTTTCTAAATCAAAAACTAATTGCATACATTTCTGCCGTAAATATAAACCACATAAAGACCCAGAACTGTTTTTAAATGGCATTCCCATCAAGGTTGTAAAAGATGCCAAGTTCTTAGGTCTCATTTTCGACTCCCATTTAACTTTTCTTCCGCATATCAAATCTCTCAGAACTAAATGCCTGAAGGCACTCGATTTATTGAAAGTCGTGTCTAATTCAAGGTGGGAAGGGGATCAAGCTACGCTCCTACACCTTTACAGATCACTTGTCCGCTCGAAGCTTGATTATGGCTCCATCGTATATGGTGGAGCCTGTAAAAGCAACCTAAAACTCTTAGATTCAGTCCACCATCAAGGTCTGAGACTTTGTCTTGGGTCATTCAGAACTTCTCCTGTTGACAGTCTTTACGTTGAGGCAGATGAACCTTCTCTTAACCAACGCCGTATAAAATTATCATTACAATATATTACAAAATTATATTCTAACGAGTCTAATCATGCATTTAACTGTGTCTTTAATCCTCTTTATGAGGATTTGTATAACAAAACATCTTCTCTTGTTCCGCCTCTTGGGCTAAGAATTAAGCCATTTATTGCTGCTGCCGGCATTGAGCTGGAAAATATAGCTCCTTCCCGTCTTCTTTCTTCTCCACCTTGGCAATTGGTTAGGCCACAAGTCGACCTAACACTCACTTAATTTAAAAAATCAGCAACTAATGACTTACTATATAAACAAGAATATAATCAATTAAAAAGTACATATAACACATATAAATCCTTATTTACAGATGGGTCCAAGGATGGTGGCGCGGTTGCTTGTGCCACTGTCATTGGGTCCAAAACAATCTCTTCCAGATTACCCAATGACAGTTCAATTTTCACAGCAGAAGCAAACGCAATACTAACAGCTCTTAAATATATAAATAGACACCCTAAATATAAACAATATATCATATTTTCTGACTCTCTTTCTTGCCTTCAGGCTATTAAAAATATTTCTTGCAAACATCCACTTTTAATAGAAATTATAGAATTATATAATGATCTTGCTACTGGCCAATATGACATCGTCCTCTGTTGGTTACCCAGCCACGTTTGCATTTCTGGGAATATAATGGCCGATTTTGCTGCCAAGGCAGCACTCAACAAATCTGTGACACCACTTCTTATCCCATACTCTGATTATAAAGCCAACATTAGAACTTACATCCGCGATCTAATGCAAAAGAAGTGGGACACCCAAGTAGGTATTAATAAATTACATGCAATCAAACCAACTATCGGTTACACCTACTTGGGTTGTCAGTCCAGATTTGAAGAGGTCATCATACGACGATGTCGTATTGGCCACACAAGATATACTCATGAGTACCTATTGAAAGGTGAGGATCCTCCGTTTTGTATCCCTTGTGATGAGAGAATCACGGTCAAGCATGTCTTGCTTGACTGTGTTGAATATTCCATCACAAGGGATAAGTATTTTAATGTCAAAACATTGAAGGATCTTTTTTATAATGTTAATTATCATTTAATAGTTGAATTTTTAAAAGAATTAGATTTGTTAACTGATTTGTAAATAGATAAATATTTTATTATTGGTAATTTAAATTAGTCACTGAGATTGTTAGTGGCTGTACCCTCAAAGGGGGTTGACGTAGCGTAAAATTATTGTCCTCCTGGGAGGGTACGTAAGTCCCAAAACTTTCAAAGTAAAATATAAATTATCACATTTTAAACGTAGTATTGTTGTTATTTTAACTGTTGGCTAAATTTTCCTATAATCGCTAGCAGCTGAAGGGATGGTGTAAATCCAGCTAGGATGCATGCAGGTAGCAAAAGTAATGTAAGTCCCCATGGCTCCTAACATGGTGATCTACCTTCAGTTGTTGGCGATCTATAGCCCATTTTTATATTGTGTTGTCCCCTATAGTTAAAATGTTTTAGATTCAATTACTAGTTTTACATGTATATTTGTGCTACTCTAGTTGGTTTACTGTCCTTCGTCGGCAGGTGTTTTATAATATACATATATTTTATTTCAATATCCAATGTTCTCGTCACGATATGGCTGAAATATTGCCGATGTGACGTTAAATAATAACTCACTCACTCACTCACTTGTGCGATAGACTCTGTGTTTAGCAGAGATTTCTTATGAATGTGGAAAGGGTTTTGTCGCTTCCATTTGCATGATTATATTTAGAGCATATGGTGAGTGTGGGATGATAATTATCTCCGTGAACATCTGAGTTACTTGTGGATATCTTTCTAAATATTTTTCATCTGTATTTCTATGTGCTATTTCAGTTGCAGTTTACCTCGCTTCAATTCTAGCATCTCCGAATTGCAAAAACTGTCTGTTTGGAAAGTGTGATGAAGACGGAAAATGTACTGACGGGTGTGAACCAGGCTATGCTGATATATACTGTCAGCATCCATGTCAGGAGACCTGTTCAAATGGCAGGTGTTTTGTGGACAACCACACAGGAAAGACAATGTGTACAGAGGGATGTGTTGATGGCTTCTGTTACCCTGCATGTAGGATACCTTGTCCTGAAGGCTGTCTACGTTGTAAGCGTATGGTTTGTGAAAACTGTACACTTTGTGAGGGTCACTTGTATGGAACAAGCTGCCAACACTCGTGTGTTGATAAGTGTAACGGCTATGCATGTGGTATACAGGGAAACTGCTCACAAGACAAATGTATGGATGGTCGGTACGGCAAGTTATGCAGTAAGTCATGTAAACCGAGGTATGAGTCATGTCACCAAGAGAGTGGACAATGTATTAAATGCCGGAAAGGGTTATTCGGCGACGACTGTCAGCATCACTGTTCACACGAATGTCTATCAAGGGAAGAAGATGAAATGTTCAGGTGCAGTTCGGGATGCACGCTGTGCGAGTTACCATCTCATACTGATTGTAAGTATTTCAGTTTCATACTTAATTTAATATCTAATAACATTTTCAAGTATTCTTAAATAGTCTGGATACACATAGACAACTCTATGCTTTAGCAAGAAGATTAAAAAGCATAAAAAGACGAGATAATACATAGATAAAGAAACGATCCCGAGGTGGGTCTTGTAAGCACAAACCACTGACAGTGATGTAATGCACTGTCTTCAATACAATAAATGAGGAATTGGGTCGCAGGCCTCATATATATTTGATGAAAAATGTATGTTTCTGTGCGAATGTTTTCCTTGTATGTTACTGTAGTGTTATAAATACTACTGGAGTGTTATAAATATTACTGTAGATACTGCAGTGTTATAAACATTACTGGAGTGTTATAAATATTACTGTAATGTTATAAATATTACTGTAGTGTTATAAATACTACTGCAGTGTTATAAATATTACTGGAGTGTTATAAATATTACTGTAGATACTGCAGTGTTATACATATTACTGTAGTGTTATAAATATTACTGTAGTGTTATAAATATTACTGTAGTGTTATAAATATTACTGTAGATACTGCAGTGTGAAAATAGTATTGTAGTGTTATGAAAATATTACTGTAGTGTTATGAAAATATTACTGTAGTGTTATGAAAATATTACTGTAGTGTTATAAATATTACTGTAGTGTATGAATATTACTGTAGTGTTATAAATATTACTGTAGTGTTAAGAAAATATTACTGTAGCGTTATAAATATTACTGTAGTGTTATGAAAATATTACTGTAGTGTTATGAGTGAGTGAGTGAGTTAATATGTAACGTCACATCGGCAGTATTTCAGCCATATCGTGACGAGAACATTTGACATTGAAATATAATATACATAGATGCTATAAAAACCTGCCGACGAAGGACAGTAAAAATACTAGATAATCACAGATATGAATATAAAACTAGCGAACAAAGCTAAAACAATGCAATTAAAGAGGATAATACAATGTAAAAATGGGCTCTAGATCGCCAACAACTGAAGGCAGATCACCATACTAAGGCCCATGTGGACTTACATTACTTTTGCTACCTGCATAGGTAGTGTTATGAAAATATTACTGTAGTGTTATGAAAATATTACTGTAGTGTTATGAAAATATTACTGTAGTGTTATAAATATTACTGTAGTATTATGAATATTACTGTAGTGTTATAAATATTACTGTAGTGTTATGAAAATATTACTGTAGTGTTATGAAAATAATACTGACGTGTTATGAAAGTATTACTGTAGTGTTATACATGTTACTGTTGTGTTATAAATAATACTGTAGTGTTATAAATATTACTGTAGTATTATGAATATTACTGCGGTGTTATAAATATTGCTGTAATGTTATAAACATTACTGTAGTGTTATGAATATTACTGTAGTGTTATAAATATTACTGTAGTGTATGAATATTACTGTAGTGTTATGAATATTACTGTAGTGTATGAATATTACTGTAGTGTTATAAATATTACTGTAGTGTATGAATATTACTGTAGTGTTATAAATATTACTGTAGTGTATGAATATTACTGTAGTGTATGAATATTACTGTAGTGTTATAAATATTACTGTAGTGTATGAATATTACTGTAGTGTTATAAATATTACTGTAGTGTATGAATATTACTGTAGTGTTATAAATATTACTGTAGTGTATGAATATTACTGTAGTGTATGAATATTACTGCGGTGTTATAAATATTATGAAGTGGAGTGTTATGAATATTACTGTAGTGTTATAATTATTACTGGAGTGTTATGAATGTTACTGCAGTGTTAAGAATATAACTGTAGTGTTATAAATATTACTGTAGTGTCATGAATATTACTGTAGGCTTGTGAATATTTCTTCAGTGTTATGAATAAACTGTAGAGTTAAGCATGTTACTGTAGTGTTAAGAGTACTACTGTAGTGATATAAATACTACCGTGGCATTATGCATGTTACCCCTTTCCCAGGGGAATACGAATTACTCCAATTGTTTACGTGTATCCTGCAGCTAAGAAAGATCCGGCATGTACAGACAATGGCATGGAGGCCAGAATTAACTCTACCCTTGGACTATGTAGCGCTGTGCTGTTGATCGCTGTGACAAGTCTTTGCCTTAACATCATGTAAGTTGGTAACGAAGGGGGCTGGTTCTGTTGTCTTGGATGACTCTAAACTCTAACGCTGTGCACATCCAACCATTTGTTTTGACACATTATAACTAAACTGTTTCTCAGATAGTACATCCACCCACGTGGACTTGCATGAAGAAAGTCATAAATGCAGTTTCAACATAATTGCCATTGGTATTATTTTCACTATCATGGACATCAACTAAATGCACCACCTAAATGCATAATGCGCATATATGCGTCCCGCATACGTGCATCATATCGCAATGAGACATGGTTTTAAATTATATGTTCTGTAGTTCTCAATAAATGTCTATTAATCTTGAATTATATCTAACAGACGATAACAATTTTACACCGGTGGATGGCCACTATACATGATACTTTTTTCTTTGAAACTTTGAAGGGGAGTTAGAAGTTAGAAATACAAATAACAAGGGACGTGGATACCCTGTGTCGTGTAAAAACAAAGTCCAGAAAAAAGTGTCCACTTCGTACGAATGAGCTACTGAGCTAATTAACGCCAGACAATAGACAGAATAACCAATAGATGTCAAAATTGATTTAACCTGATAAGCCCAATTTTTACAGAACGCGATTCCCAATCATTTTAAAGATATTCATAGCAGACCCTTAGGATACAGTTATCAGTTCCTAAACGTTTTAACCAATATTTTATCAAATTAAACATTCTTTTGCATTGAAGAGGATAGCTTCCGAGTTCGGCATAAATCATAAAACTACAGGTTGAATTCTTTACACCCAGTAGTTTTTTACAAAATTCTAAATGTAATGTTTGAACATTATCTCTCTTGTGTGAACCCCATACCTCGGTGTATACTTATCGGAGTGAACATATTTTATGAAATCAATCAACACTGAAAACAATTTCTGAGTGAACTCACTCACCTTTCATAGTCACTTGCTTACCAGTGTGAACAAAACCTTAACAATTCCGGATAAACAATTCACATTTTAACACTTCCCGACTAGTTAATCCCTTACAAACACAACAGACGACATCAAAGCTACACCGTCTGTCCACGTCCTGCAAATGCAAAATTTCAGGTTGTCCACGTCCTGAGAATGAACCCCGAGAATACCCCTAACAAGGAATCTTATGAATATCCCTTTGGAATATTTTGTTAATTAAACATTATTTAGTATACACATTATGATTATATGCTGGGCGGATTATTGTACACTACAATTCTGTGAAAATCCACACTACATTTGAATATTTTCTTCCAGAAAGGCAGGGGCGTTGAAACGTGAACGATGCAATTGTGTAGATGTAGAGTGATAAAGAATATACCTGGCTATCACTGACCTGCAAGTTTGTCCTTATGTGGAATTATTATTCATTCATGTCATACGACACTTCTATTGGTTGAATAGACTCAGTGATATCGTACCTGACAAAATGCAATATTGCTATGCTTCACTCTCTTTCTTGTCTCGACTCTGTTATTTAGAGGTTATCCGGTATGCCTGGACTGCTGTTGCCCGACAACAAAATTGTCCTGAATCAGTTTTCAAGGTCTTAAGTTAGAATAGAAAATCCAGAGATATATATTGAGAATTATTGGAAAGACTTGGGATGTCAGTGACCACACTATGTATAAAGGATGATTAGCGTCTGTTCAGCTTGTATTTGTTTACTTCTAAAGCTGATTTTGTTTGGGAAAGAACTGTTTTGTAGCCATATGAAACCAAATTTTTTGTTATTATATACTTTCAGAGCCCTTCGGAGATCTGCGAGCCAAGACGACTATAGGTAGTATTCATTTTTTTGCATCAGTCCCTTTCAGTAACATTCATGCACCTACGGTACAGTAGATACCACTATAAGATACGTTTCCAAGTACAGTCCGTTTGGCTCAAAAGCGGACCAATGAATTGCAATCTAACTTGGAAACATATAATACTCAATGAAACGTTGATCATAATAAAAACATCAGACTAACTCTAAAAATAAAAAAGTTGTTTTAAATATTGACACTTTTCACTATTAGTTACGAGGGAGGAGTACAAAGAGAGGAACAGCCAGGTGTGAGTTAGGATGGAGACGCCCGCAATCGTTTGGCGGGGGACGTTTCAAAATCATCATGAGAGGGATCGTCTGAATCCAACTCTTATTCTGAACAACTGCTGTCAGAGTCCACTCTGACGATGACTGGTTTAATGGTGGCTAAGCCACTCTCTTGCCAGTATTTAGTTTCAATATCCTTTTCCACCTTTGCAACACATCTCTGCCATGTTTCTTGCGAGACTTAACTGGTGGATTGATGTACCTGTTTCTGTACATCACCAAGTTTGAAGGTGGTGTTATTTATTCCCACTTTGGACTTGATGATACCCCAGACCAGCTCTATTGGGTTAAGGTCACAATGGTAGGGGGGAAGACGAAGCACTTCATGACCATGGTTCTTTAAGTATTGGTCAACCTTATACACGGGGTTATATTTATTTGCGTTCATAATTCCGTACAAAAAGTGTTGTTGCCTTTAATGGAATGCTAACATATCCCACTTCCTGCTGTTTGAGACTGGTGCTTTTGTATCAGGGTCCTGAACACTGTGGTACGGAGCTTGTCCATGGCCTTTGGGAGGCAAGAAGGGAACAAGCTGTTTTTGTAGCCATTCTAAAATCACATCACCGTTCATCTCGGTGTGATAGTCACGATTGTCTTTGGATTTGATTGAAATGCAAGGGAACAACCAGGTAAAAACCCCGACTTTTACATCCGACATGTAACACAATCAAACACTCACCCTTGCCAAGTGGGAGTTTCCATGCGCATGTTTCTGATGATGTACTGGCAACCACAGGCCCTCGTGTCTTTGCGAGGATTACAGATTTTTTAAAAATATATTAAAATTTGAGATGATCCCCGACTCGAAATGCTTCACAGTACAATACATCATGACAAGGCCAGACACTTTGTTGCACCCCACTCGCCTACTTTGCCGATCACTACGCTACCATCGCATGCAATCAGTTAAAACTTAATGTAAACGTAATCATGGACGATTGGCCTATCGAGCACCACCACACATGACACCTACCAATTCTTTAATGTTATTTCTGCAAGTCGATTGAAAACCGATTTTGACTCTCAACTGAACGATCTTGACACAAATTGATGACAATATATCCGCACAAAACGGGGTGTGTGGTCGAAGCAAGCATTTCGAGTCGGGTGTCATCTCAAAAGATAATATGTTTTAAAATGTAATCCTCGCAAAGACACGAGGGCTTGTGCTGGCAACCCATTGGGTACCTGCGCTGCGACTGGCATTCACTCACGTTTCATTCAGTAAAATAAACAGATTCGAAACCTTCGTTACGTTTTTTCCCAAGTAGCTGTTAGGTAAGCGAATAATGTCGGATCGTTCACAGAGAACACGTCTATTCTCCCCACTAATCCTTTTATAACGGAACCCAAATTTGTGGAGCAATAACCATAACTGATGTGTGGATGTTACATGGGAATGTTCAGTGTCCATGTGTTTTTTTTTTAAAACACGCAAAGAAAGGAATTTATTTTGGCCATATAACCTCCTAATAGCATTCCGAACAAGTTCTTTTTTTCATAAATCATGATTTTCTATTTTCACTGGTTTTGATACAGCCCCTTCACAGGTAAAGGAATCAATAACTTTGTAGGCACTTGTGCACGTTCTTCTCGCATACCTGGCTGTTTCTCTCTGTGCACTCCTCCCTCGTAACAAATAGTGAAAAGTGTCAATATTGTAGTGATATGCCATTGCAGTCCTAATCCTCAATTGTACTGTACATACATTTCCTCATGCTGTATATATTCCTCATTCTGTTCATCACTTGCTTGACAATGGGGTTAGAACCTACACCGAAACGTCGCTCTCCCTGTAATAAAAAAAGTCGTTCATCCATATATTGTCATTCTTTCTTAGTCTTTACTTGTCATTAGAACAGTCTTTGTTGACTGGTGTGCCCAGTGATGTCGGAAAATGACAAGATGGAACATTGAAATACTGGCTTATCTTGTCCAGGCTATGTTGTTCAGATTGAAGACAGGCCATCTGATAAAGCTTGGCTACTGTTCCCCAACAAGCAGTCGGCAAGGGTATGAACACATGACGTTATATCTTTCAATTTTCCCTAACAATGATAGCGAGTTGAAAGCAATGACCACAACACATTCGGCTTGACTGTTCAAATATTGTTCGTGCTCAAAAATCTACTCCAGTGGTATTACAGAAATCTTAAAATCAATATTTATCATTAACCAACAACATTTTCATTTCTCTTTTCAGGTTAGCCCGGGCTGGTAAGTATTTATAAAAACCGAAATAACAGAAAGAAACAGAAATCATGTATATTCTAATGTGAAACAAAGAACCAAAGGTTCAGGGACCGTAGGTCTTAGCTTGGTGTCAGACGCGGTCAATTTTGTACAAATATATTTTGTATAAACGGCTTCACCAAATGTATAGTAAATAATACGCATACATAATTCCGATTACTTTTTACATTTGCTGATTCAGCAACAAAATACGTTATTAGTGGTATTGTCAAGCTATTTGTATTTTCTTAGACATTATAAATGGCATAATGTGCATTTGAGGGCGCATTTACAATGTTACCGTTTGACCATGCTGTAGCCTGGATTATAGAAACCTCTGGCGCTATAACGTTGAGACTGAATATACCATTTAACGAAACCATTTGTGCATGAATTAAGCTGGCCATGAAACCATTTGACACATCCACGTGACACAGATAAGCACATTTTTCAAGTGAACTTGACGTTTACAAACGAAATTAATTCTTTTGACCGTGATAGGTTTAATGACAGCGCATGTCTGTGATTTTGTGTTTCAGTCACCTCTTCAAAACACATTTCTATGAAATTCGCTTTACTTTTCACCAAGTAAATGCAAAATATCCATACTTAACCGCAAAAGAAACGCAAATTGTACATAAAATGTGAATAATTTGATCCCATATGTCTTGAATAGAAGGCACTATTCGATTTGATTCAGTTTGACAGCTGTTTAATTACATCACTTTTACGCACAGTACATCGAACAAGGTTCATCGCGGACCAGAGCACATGGTTTAGTGGAATGGCATGGAATCACAACAATAAAACATAGGACTAGGAATGGACATTAAAACGAAAAAGGAACCCTGAAACTCTACGACACTTCCTGACACTTTAGGACAGCCGCCCCCAAAGTTATGGAATAAATTTGCACACAGAAATTACAGTCAATCATGGCAATTCTGGCAGCAGCACCAGCTTGGTCACTGGTCTGTGGTACTTGTCTCCCCCAAACAGCAGACTGGATTCTGAAATCAGGGCTAGGGAAGACTTCAACAATCCTTCCAACAGGCCAATGTCCTCGGACCTGTTGGCTATCAGCGATCAGATCAGGGTTTCCAACTTTGAGTTCAAGTCCATCTTTGTACCATAAACTTCTTCCAGAACTGATCAGCTACAGTCTGGCAGTGTCGCCAGCGGCTCTTCCCTAGTCTCTGCTCTGCAGGGTAGGCCAATTGGGGAAGGGAAGGATCTGGCTTCCCAATCAGCAGTGAGAAGGGAGTAACAGGGTTGACATCGGAGACATCACTGGATACACAGCCAGGGGGGTTAGAGTTCAGTAATGCCTCAACTTTAATCAACACAGTCCGTAAAGTGTTCCTGTGCACTGCTTCAAGACCTAGAACAGTACAAAGCCCATGTTTCACATATCTGATTTCTCGTTCCCAAGTACCATCAAAATGAGGAGAATATGGTGGATTGAATTTGAATTTGAATTTGCCTCAGACAGTTCCCTTTCACCGCCTTTGAAGTTCGTTCCACAGTCAGACAGGATTTCAAGGGGTTTACCTCTTCGGGAGATGAAACGACGAAGAGCCATCAGAAATGCATCCGTGTCCATGGATTCCAGCAGATCCAGATGAACGGCTCTGGTTGTGAGACACTTAAAGATCACTCCGAGTCGTTTCTCTCTTTGGCAGCCAATTTAGATGTCCTTTAGCCCCAAACAGTCTACTCCGGTGGAATAGAAAGGAGGCTTGAAGAACCGTAGTCTCGCAGGAGGCAGATCATCCATCTTTGGAACTTCAGAATTGGCTTTCCAGCGCTGGCAGTCATAACACTGCCTCTGGTGACGTTTTACAGCTTCTCTCACACGGAGAATCAAGAACCGTCTTCGCAGTTCAGCGTTCAGAGCCATAATGATGAAGCTTCACGTCATTGTGTTTGATCTAGAGCTTAATGAGAGGGTGTTTAGGATCCAAAACAATTGGATGCATAAGTTCAGAGGGAATGTCACGTGAGTTTCTCAACCTTCCTGCTACTCGAATAAGACCTGTTTCTGGCTCATACTCCGGACTCAGTTGCATCAGTCTGCTGGAGGAACTGAGAGGCTTCCCAGTTGAGAGTGCAGTGAACTCCCCAGGGAAGGAATCTTTCTGTATCTTGTGAAACAGTTCAATCTCAAGGTCACGGGTGGCAAGGTCTGGAGCATCCGCCCCATCAGAGGTACACATTTTGGATCTGAGTGAGTCAACGGCGGAGTCCCAGTTTTCATGAGACAACATATCAGACAACATGGTAGCTATACCACAGAAGGTCCTCTTCAGTTCATTTGGGGTTTGTGTCCACCATCTAGTGTTTGTAGAAGACACTTCACTCAATGTGAGCCCACGGGTGATGTCATCAGCGGGATTGTCTCTGGTATTAACATATCTCCAGCTGTGATCTTCAGTCATGTTTTGAATCTCTGCCACTCTAGTGCCCACAAATACTTTGTACCTGCAGGAATCTGACTTGAACCAGGAGAGAACAGTTGTTGAGTCACTCCACAGAGAAACACTAGTGATTGGTAGAGTTAACTCATTGGTCAAAGTTTCAGTCAGTTGAGCGCCTAGTAATGCGACAGAGAGTTCAAGGCGCGGAATGGAGAGACACGTCTTTGGAGCAACTCGACTCTGAGCTGACACGAAGGCAACATTGCTGTGGCCAACTTCATCCTCAATTCTCAGATAAGCCACAGCTCCATACACCTTCTCAGAGGCGTCACAAAAGATGTGCAACTGCAGATTGGCAGCTTTAATATATCGGGTGTGGTAACATCTCGGGAGATGAATATTGGACATTTCCCAGAGTTCTGATTTCCAAGTGTTCCAGTCTTGTAGAATCTGACCAGGTTTTATCGGTTCATACCATTGACATTTCTTGATCAAGAGGTCTTGGAACAGTACTTTGGCTCTGGAAAAAGGTATGGCGAGTGATAGCCAAGTGGATCATACTGGCTGGCATGGATCCTGTAGACAACTTTCATTGTCAGCTGAGGGTATGAGATTGGCCAGTACTTGTAAGAGATCTCATCTTCAACACAGTTCCTACCGAGACCGAGGGTGGATTCCTTCGGGTCTTCATTCTCTTGTGCAAGCCACAGCTCACAGCTCTGACTTAGCATCAGTTGGAAGATCTCTGATGACCTCTTCGCTGTTACTGGCTCACTGACGCTTGTTGAATCCTCCACTGGCGAGGGTTTTTCTAATTTTGACAATAAGTTCCTAGGCTTCAGTAACGTTGGAAACACTTTCCAGGCAGTTGTCTACATAAAAGGATTGGAGAATCGATTGAACAACTTCTGGATACTCGGTTCGGTTGTCAAGGGCCTGTTTCCTCAGAGCAAAGGTTGCGCAGCGTGGACTGCAGGTTGTCCCAAATGGTAACTCTTTCCATTCATAAATGTCTGGTTACGGTCCCTCTGGAGGTTGCACCATAGGAAACGCAACAGACATCTGTCTTCAGGCAGTAATCGTACCTGATGAAACATTGCTTGGATATCTCCTGATATGGCAACTGACTTCTGTCGAAATTGCATGAGGACTCCGAGCAACGGGGAACAGAGGTTTCGTCCAGGAAGCAGGTGATTGTTCAGGGCCTGTCCAGAATACCCATATGAGCAGTTAAAGACCAGGCGGTACTTTTCATGCTGTCGGAGAAATGAACCATGATTCCGTGGTTGAAGCAGCTTCACTTTCACTGATGATCTGCACATAATCTTTGTCTACAAGTTCTTGGATCTTCTGGTTGTGGGTATCAACCTAATCTGGATCACGGCAGAGACGTTTCTCCACAGAGCGAAAATTTCACATTACAGATTCTTTTCCAGCATAAAGAGGAGAGCAATCTGACATCCTCAGCAGCGGAGTGACATAATGGTTGGTTTCCCCATCACTGACCTTCACAGTCTTTGATTCCGAGATCTTCACTGCAAAACCGTCTAGCTTGGAGGGGGTCACAGATTTGGATATGAAGGAAATCACCTCAGCCTTCCACAGTTTCACAACGTCATTCATAAGTTGAAAAGAAGGGTTCGGAACCGAAGTCAGGAGACAGCAGTCACGGTTTGCTGAGGTAATGTCTTTGTGCTAGCCTTGGAGGGTCCATCCAAACTTAGTACAGGCAGCCACTGGTGAATTTGATGGGCCAAATCAGATAGGTGGTCGTGATAATATCAGATCTGCATCGTCAGAACCGATCAGGATCAAGGGCTTTGCCTCATGAATGTTATGCAGAACAGCATCTTGCAGATGAGCATATTCCCTCTGGAGGGATTTGACTGGGTAGGAATACTCAGAGCGAAGGCTTTGCTAATTGAGTACTTGCGGTGAGGATCATCTAGAGGTGAGATAGTAAGGTTTACAGAATGTCAAACACAGTTGAATGGCTCACTGCGGATCGTAGTCAGTAGAATGTCACCTGGTTCAGTGTTAAGATCAAGTTGTCTGACAGCGGGCATCATGATCATTGTCCTCATTGATCCATCATCCAATACTGCATAGGTTTCAAGAGTTTTGTCCACTAGGCTCACTCAAGATGACTGGCACAACTTTCAGGACCACTCTGTAGGATTGAGAGGGCTGGTCGAGGTAGAGAGGTGACTGGTTCATAAAATATGACTGAGTTGAACTTTGTTGGACGGTGTCATGTAAGATGGTTAGATGCATCTTTTGGCAAATGTTGCAGGGCTTCTTGAGATTATAGTCATTAGGTGAATGAGATCTCACACACTTCCAACACCTTTTCTTGTCCCTTATCCAGGGGATAACTTCATCAACCTTCAATCTCTTGAAACTGTTACAGAAACTGATGTGATGATGGTCGCTGTTACAGAAGGCACAGTAGGACTTGTAGGTTGCTTTCCCACCTGTAGGAACAGCAGGTTCAGATCTTGCATGACTGGACATGGTTACAGTGTTGAGAGAGACAGGATGGTTTGGTCGTTGTGTAGGTCTGGATCC